TGAGCTTTCTAGGCGCGTCTGACTCATTTCAACTTGTAGCGATCCCTATACATTCTCTGATCAGGACTTAAAAAAACCTGACACCACCGATTTCATGACGACAAGTTCCTTGAGATTAAGACATCCCAGTGAAAATTTGTTCCTGATTCCGAGCCAAACCTCGTAGATTTGAATAATTAAAAAAGTTGAGCTCTTCGGAAGCCCAATTTTGCTGTCATATGCCGTCAAAAAAGGAAATAATTTTATCCTTCGATATTGTGCAGCATCGATCCAAGGGAGAAACACAATCGTTTTAAAAAGGGACTTATTGAAAAGCCCAAACTCCAGGGAGAGTGTTATCAACCAGCTTTAGTACAATATTGAGCCATGTTAGGCGCCTCTGACTTGTTTCGACTTGAAGAGTTTCTCATATAATCATTTATCAGGACTTAAGCAAACCTGACATCACCGATTTCATGACGAAAATTTCATTGAAATCACCCCAGCACACTTTTGCTTCTAGTCCGTACGCTAACCTAGTAGCTTTACCTAATCAAACAAAAATAAGTCTTTCGAGATGCCCACATTTGATTTCAGGAGCCGCCTAAAATAGAAAAACTCGTCGTTCGAAATTTTGTAGATTGATCCAATGGACAAACACCAATGGAGGACTTATTGAATAGCTCAAATTGATCCAAAAAGGTTATCAACTAAGGTCTGTACAATTACGAGCCAATATTGCCGCGTCTGACTCGTTTCAAGTGTAGATTATCCATATGAAATATTATCGATAGGGAAATTCATCGATTTCACGACAACAAGTTCGAAAAGTTTAAAAAACTCCAGCGAAGTTTCGCTCTTGATTCCTACCCTACCCTAGTAGTTTTACAACAACAAAGAAAACCATGTTTTCGAGATGCCCAGAAGGTGTGTCATATGCCGCCAAAATCGAAAAAAAAATTTCTTCGATAATGTGTAATACCGATCCAAGAGAGAAACTACAACCTTTTTTAAAAAGGACCTTATAATCAGCCCAAAATTTTTGGAGAGTGTTATCGGTACAATATCGAGCCATGCCAGGCGTCTCTGACGTGTTTCAACTTGTAGAGAACCTTACACATTCAATTATCAGGACTTTAAAAAGAACTGACACCGCCGATTCGTGACGACACGTTCATTAAGCTTGAGAAACCCAAATGTATTTTTTTTCCTGATTCCTGAGCAAACCTCGTAAATTTACATAATAAGGATGCCCACAATTGTGCCATGTGCCGTCAAAAATGGAAACAAATTGCCCTTCGATAAAGTGTATTGTTTTATTGCTTTTTTAATAAAAAGCCCAAAATCCTCGGAGAGTGTTATCAACCCGTATATGTACAAAAACGAACCAATCTAGGCTCATCTGACTAGTTTCGAATTGTAGAGAACCCCAATTTTTTTAATCAGGACTAAAAAAAAACTTGACACCACGATTTCATGACGACAATTTTGCTCCCGATTCCTACGCCACTCTATTAGTTTTTACAGAATCAAACAAAAAATATGTCTTTCGAGCTGCCAATATTTGATGTCAGGAGCCGTCTAAAATAAAAAACCTCGTCGTTCGAAATGGTGTAGATTGATTCAAGGGAGAAGCACCAATCCGTTTAATGGGGGACTTAATAAATAGCCCAAGATTATCAGAAAAGGTTATCAACTAATGTCTGTACGATTACGAGCCATCATAGGCGTGTCTGACTCGTTTCAATTTGTAGAAGTTCCACATGTTCAATTATCAATACGAAAAAAAACCAATTTTTTACCGACGACAACTTTATTAGGTTAGAAACACTCCAGCCCAAATTTGCTCCTGGCTCCTACGCGACCCTAGTAGATTTACAAATACAAACAAAAATATGTGTTTCGGGATGCCCTCTTTTGCTGTCTAGAGCCCGCTAAAAAAGAAAAACTCGTGGTTCGAAAATGTGTCGCATCGGTCCAAGGGAGAAACTACAATCTTTTGGAAAATGAACCTATTAAAAAGACCAAAATCATTGGAGAGAATTATCAACTAGTTTCTTTAAAAAAACAAGACATTCTAGGTACGTCTGACTCGTTTCAATTTAAGGAGAATCCATACGTTCTACCATCAATAAGAAAAAAAATTGAAAACCATCGATTTCACGACGACAAGTTCATTCGGTTAAAAACAAGGCATACCAATTTTGCTTCAGTTTCCTGCGCTACCCAAGTAGCTTTAAAGAATAAAAAAATTATGTCTTTCAAAATACCCACGTTTGCTGTCAGGAGCCGTAAGAACTAGAAAACACATCGTTCGAAAATGTGTAGCATCGATTCAAGGGAGAAACTACTATCTTTTCACAAAGAGATTTAATAGAAAGCCTTAATCCTCGGAGAGTACTATCAACTACGGTCTGTACAAAAACAGGCCATTCTGGGCGCGTCTGAATTGTTTCAATTTGTAAGAACCTCATACATTCTTTCGTCAGGAATTTAAGAAAACCTGATACCACAATTGCTGTCAAGTGCCGTCAAAAAAGGGAAAAAAATTATCCTTCGATAATGTGTAGCTTCGATCCAAGGGAGAAACTACAACCGTTTTAAAAAGGTACTTAATTAAAAGTCCAAAATACTCGGAAAGCGTTATAAACCAATTTCTGTACAATAACGAGCCCTTATAGGCGCGTTTGGCTCGTTTCAACTTGTAGAGAACCCCATACATTCGTTTTTCAGGACTTTAAAAAAAAACTGACACCACCGATTTCATAACGACAAGTTCATTAGGTTGAAAACACCCCAGCGCAATTTTGTTCCTGGTTAGTTCTCTGCCCTAGTAGCTTTACACAACCAAACTAAAATAATAACCCACTTTTGCGGTCAGGAGCCGCCAAAAAAAGAACTCGTGGTTCGAAAATGTGTAGCATCGATCCAAGGGATAAATTAAAATAATTTTGAAAGGGTTCTAACAAAAAGCCAAACATCCTCGGAGAGTGTTATCAACTAGTGTGTGTAAGACAATGAGCCTTTCTAGGCGCGTCTGACTCAGTTCAAATTGTAGAGAACTCTATACATTCTTTAATCAGGACTTGAAAAAAACGGACACCACCGATTTCATGACGACAAGTTCTTTGAGTTTAAGAAACCCCAGTGTAATTTGGTTCCTGATTCCGAGGCTAACCTTGTAGATTTACATAATTATTAAAGTTGAGTTCTTCGAGATTCCCACATTTGCTGTCATCTACCGTCAAAAAAGGTAAAAAGTTTATTCTTCGTTAATGTGTAGCATCGATCCAAGTAAGAAACTACAATCGTATTAAAAAGAGACTTAATAAAAAGTCTAAAATCCTCGGAGAGTGTTATCAACCAGTTTTGTACAATTTTGAGCCAATTTAGGCGCGTCTGAATTGTTTCGACTTGAAGAAACTCCCATAGATTCTTTTATCAGGACTTTAACAAACATGACACCACCGATTTCTTGACGACATTTTCATTGAGTTGAAAACACCCCAGCACACTTTTGATTCTGGTTCGTAGGCCATCCTAGTAGCTTAACATAATCAAACAAAATTTAGTCTTTCAAGATGCCCACCTTTGCTGGTAGGAGCCGTCAGAATAAACTCGTGGTTCGAAGGGACTTAATAAAAAGCTCAAAGTCTTCGGAGATTGTTATCAACCAGTGTCTGTACAAAAATGAACCAATCTAGATGCATCTGACTCGCTTCGAATCGTAGAGAACCCCATATTTTTTATCAGGACTTAAAAAACTTGACACCACCGATTTCATGTCGACAAGTTCATTAAATTGAAAACACCCCAGCGCAATTTTGCTCCTAGTAGTTTTGCATAATCAAACAATAGTATGTCTTTCGAGATGCCAACACTTGATGTCATGAGCTGTCTAAAATAGAAAAACTCCTTTTTCGAAAATGTGTAGACTGATCCAAGGGTGAAACACCAATCCGTTTAAAGGGGGACTTATTAAATAGCCCAAATTCATCAGAAAAGGATATCAAATAATGTCTGTACGATTACAAGCCATTATAGGAGCGTCTGAATTGTTTCAAATGTAGAGTAATCAAATGAAAATTTATCGACACAAAAAAAATTTGGTAACCATCCATTTCACGAAGACAAGTTCAAAAGGTTAATATGACTCTTGGTTTCTACCCTACCCCAGTAGTTTTACATCATCAAAGAAAAATATGTCCTTGGAGATGCCCAGATTTTGTGTCAGAAGCCATCAAAAACAGAGAAACTTGTTGTTCGAAAATGGGTAGCATCGATCCCAGGGAGACACGACAATCCGTTTAGTGGGGGACTTAACAAAAAGCACAAGTTCATCAGAAAAGATCATCAACTAATGTCTGTACGATTACGAGCCATCATAGGCGCGTCTGACTTGTTTCAATTTGCAGAGATTCCATATGCTCAAGTATCAATACCAAAAAAAAATATGAAAACCACCGATTTCATGACGACAATTTATTTGGTTAAAAAAAACCCAGCCCAAAATTGCTCCTGGCTCCTACGCTACCCTAGTAGCTTTACAACACAAACATAATTATGTTTTTGGGATGCCCTCATTTGCTGTCTGGAGCCCTCTAAAACAGAAAAATTTGTCGTTCTAAAATGGGTAGCATTGATCAAAGGGAGAAACAACAATCCGTTTAAAGAGGGACTTTTTAAATAACCCAAATCCACCAGAAAGTGTTATCAACCAGTGTCTGTAGTAAAATGAGCCATTCTAGGTTTGTCTGACCCGTATCAAATTGTGAAGAATCAATACGAAATATCATCGAAACACAAAGATATGAAAACCACCGAAGTTCAATAGGTTCGAAACACTCCACCGCAGTTTTGCTCATGGTTCTTACGCTACTCTAGTATGTTTATGTAATCAAACAAAATAATGTCTTTCAGGGGTCTAATTGCTGTCAAGAGCCATCAAAATTACAAAGACTCGTCATTCAAAAATGTGAAGCATCGATCCAAGGGAGACAAAACAATCTGTTTGAGGAGAGACTTATTAAATAGCCCAAATTCCTTAGTGAGTGTTATAAACTAGTATCTTTGATATTAGGTGGCTTTCTAGTTGCGTTTTACTCGTTTCAACTTGGAGAGAATAATTTCAATTCTATTATCAAAATTTTAAAAAATCTGAAAACCCCCGAAGAGTCTTATGAACTAGTGTTTGTACGACTACGATTCATTCTAGGAGGGTCTGATTTTTTTAGTTGCTTTATTTTTCCTCCATGTGATATAGTGTACCGTAAAACATTTCTTATCATATCCATCGAAAAAAAAAGGCATGACCCTTTGGTTTAACAGGCAGTAGGTAACGAGGCGTGGCTCATCGCTTCACTCTTCGAGAACGCCTAACGTTCTGTAAAATCAAAGGAAAAAATTAATGTTTACATACCAAATTGAAGGAAAACCTCAATGTTTTTGAGAAATGAAAAAGGAAAAATTAGTATTACAAAAGCTGACCAAAAATCAATTAAAACTATACCAGTAATTTTTACATGATCTTGAGCACAGTTTTACTGGTCATCTTCAAGAACATAATTTCAAAAAAAATTTCCGTTTTTTTAACGTAAATTTTTCAATGTCATTCTAGATTCGTTTAAATCTGTGATATGAACGCTTTAGGAGCTATCAATTGCTTGTTATGGTAGACGTAGAAGGTAAACGAAAACTAAATTTATAGAACAATCTATGAGAAGAGACGTTAAAAACTTGTGATTTTTTGAGAGAATCTGACTTTTGTGTAATAAAAAAAAATCAGAAAAAAATTCTTGTATCCATATCTTTTGAAACTGCCTTTTATCGTTTTGCCATGATTTTTTGAGCAGGGTTGAGGATCTTGTTCAATTTTGAAAAAAAATACATATTTACTTTTTTGCACGTTTTTATCAAAAAAATTGTCAGTTAAATACGCAAAACATGTATATAAACGTAAGAAAAAGCAAAATCACGGCGTAAAACATTCTCTGTTACTTTGCGTAAGACCTGGCTGACCCGAACGGGCCCAAAGTACAATGCGAGAGAGAGAGAGAGAGAGAGAGAGAGCGGAGAGAGTCTTTGGAAAAAAACCAAATGGTTACTGTTGGACTACCAGCATGAAAACGTTGGAAACTTCCATATTTATCTTCCTTTGAAAAGAAAGCAGCATCCTCAAAAAAATTCAAATAGAGTTCAGTTTTGAGCAAGTGTATTTATCTCGCTCTCTCTTTCTCTCAGTTTTATTCTCAAGTTTTTTTTCTAAGAATTTGCCGAAAAAAATTTACAATGAAATATTTTAATTGATCCACTAGGCAGGAAAAAAATCTGAGACAATCAATATACACAAAGTCATATTGAAACAAGACAAGAAACAAAGCAAACAAAAATGAAATTAAAAACCTGAAGACTAATAATCAGTACAAAAGAAAGCTTTTTGTTCAAGTTATTAAAACTCTCGAAAAAGTAGTTTTATTTTTTTTGGGGATATCAGGCTACATTTGCAGGGTTTCTCTGAATGAGATCTGGGGTCAGTAGATCGATCTGGGGTCATTCTACCGCACTCTGTGTCGATGAAATCCGAGCATCCGAATAGGAAGTTGATTGCTCTGGAATTGAAACTGAAAGTTGATTGCTCTGGAGTTGAAACTCCCATAACAAACGACTCGTGAGACATTGCTGTCGGAATATCCCAATACGGTTCGCGCTCTAGATAAACACGAATGCATCCCTCCTGATTTTCATACAATGGGATTGACTCGCAGTCACACGCCAAGAGAATTTTTCTGGGAGACTGCTCGAGCGAGGTTGTGTTGTTTATCTCAGTCTTTTCTGATGCCGGATAATTCGGGTACAATTCTTTTTCAACTCTGTCGAGGCAGGTTATTTGATCAATTCGGTAGCAATAAGTGACATTTAGTAATCCATTCCTTCTTTTTTATTGCCTTCGTTTTCTCGGGGAGCCAAGTCATTAGCCGCTCGACTTGCTCTACACGGAGAGACTCTCTATCTCTCTCTCTCTCTCTCTCTCTCTCTCTCTCTCTTCCTCTCTCTCTCTCTCTCTCTCTCTCTTTCTATTGATGGATGACTGCAATCGGTCATCTCGTGTATGTTTGAGAGATACTTATTCTTTCTCGATGAGACACTGATACTATTTTCAAAAGAGTAGTCATGACTTGAAGTTGTTTTAAGTTTTGTTAAAACATTTTGACTGAATTACTGAAGTGAATTTGAGATAATGAAGGTATACCCGGGGGCGGGGAGCAATTAAAAACCGATAGAAACTGAAGTTTATCGCTAAAGATATTAAATTCTTGGTGATTAAGTTTGATCGTTATGGCTTAAGGCGCTCGTGAATTTGTCACATACTTTTTTTTTATTTCGGAACGCTTGATCTGTCTCGTAAGCTGAGATCAATCCTTCTTCACTGTTCCGCACAAAAAAACCACTTGGTCGTTAAAAATTAAGAAAGGAAAATTTAGTGTAAAAAAAAGCTGTCCAAAAATCAATTAAAACTATACCAGTAATTTTTTTATGATCGTGAGCACAGTTTTACTGGTCATCTTCAAAAACGTAATTTCAAAAAATTTTCCGTATGTTTTTACCGTAAATTTTTCATTGCCATTTTAGATTCGTGTAAATGTGTGATATGAGCTTTTTAGGAGCTATAAGTTGCTTGATTATGGTAGACGTAGAAGGTAAACGAAAACTAAATTTATAGAACAATCTATGAGAAGAGACGTTGAAAACTTTTGATTATCTGAGAGAATCTGACTTTTGTGTAAGAAAAAAAATCAGGAAAAATTTCTTGTATCCATTTTTTTTGAAACGGCCTTTTATCGTTTTGCCATGGTTTTTGAGCAGGGTTGAGGATCTTGTTCAATTTTGAAAAAAATATATACATTTTCTTTTTTACACGTTTTTACCAAAAAAAATTGTCAGTTAAATACGCAAATCATGTATATAAACGTAATAAAAAGCAAAACCACAGCGTAAAACACTCTCTGTACTTTGCGTACGACCTGGCTGACCCGAACTGGCCCAAAGTATAATGAGAGAGAGAGAGAGAGAGAGCGCGGAGAGAGTCTTTGGAAAAAAACCAAATGGTTACTGTTGGACTACCAACATGAAAACATTGGAAACTTCCATATTTATCTTTCTTTTGAAAAGAAAGCAACATCCTCAAAAAATATTTTAAATAGGGTTCACTTTTGAGCAAGTGTGTTTAACCTCTCTCTCTCTCTCTCTCTCTCTCTCTCTCTCTCTCTCAGTGTTTCCCAAACAATAAATTGTCCGAAAATTTATTCACTATTTATCATTTTGATGTTTTATTCTCAAGTTTTTTTTCTATGAAACGGCCGAAAAATTTTTAGAATGAAATTTTTAGTTGATCTACTAGGCAGTAAAAAAATTTGAGACAATCAATATACACGAGGTCATGTTGAAACGAGACAAGAATCAAGTCGAACAAAAATGAAGTGAAAAACCTGAAGACTACTAATCGAAACAAAAGAAAGCTTTTTGTTCAAGTTATTAAAACTCTCGAAAATGTAGTTTTATCTTTTTAGGGCTTTCAAGCTACATTTGCAGGGTTTCCCTGAATGAGATCTGGGGTCAGTAGATTGATCTGGGGTCAGTATTCCGACCTCTGTGTCGATGAAATCCGAGCATCCGAATAGGAAGTTATTTGCTCTGGAGTTGAAACTGAAAGTTGATTGCTCTCGAGTTGAACATCCCATAACAAACGACTCGTGAGACTTTGCTGTCGGAATATCCCAATACGATTCGCGCTCTGCATAGACACGAATGCATGTCTCTTCTCTCTCTTTCTCTCTCTCTCTCTCTCTCTATCTCTTTGTTGATGGATGACTGCAATCGTTGATCTCGTTAATGTTTGGCAGATAATTGTTCTTTCTCGATCAGACACTGATATTTTTTTCAGAGGAGTAGTCTTGACTCAAAATTGTTTTAAGTTTTCTTAAAAAATTTTGTTTTAATTACCGAAGTGAATTTGAGATAATGAAGGTATACCCGGGGGCGAGGAGCAAATAAATACCGAGAGATACTGAAGTTTATTGTTAAAGATATTAAATCCTTGGTGATTAAATTTGATCGTTATGGCTTAAGGCACTCGGGAATTTGTCACATGCTTTTTTTACTTCGGGAACGCTTGATCTGTCTGGTAAGCTGAGATCCATCATTCTTCACTGATCCGCACAAAAAAAACCAGTTGGTCGTTTTTCAGTTGGTTGTTATTGGTTGTATTTCGATGGCTCTCGGAGTATATCTTCCGTTGACAAATTTTTAGTTAGAGTTGGTGCGAAAACATTCGCGCAGACCGGTATTTGTATAACCATTAAATTGTACAACAAACACGAAGACGGAATTTACAAGTATCGACAAGGAATGCCCTTGTCATTTAGTGTATTCGATTTCTTGGGGGAAAAATACACATAGATCAAAAAAATGACGAAAGGAAAAAAATGCGATGTGACTGGAAAATTTGGAAAAAAGCAAAACAAATCTAAAAAATCTTCATGCTGGGAGAGGGAATGCGAAAATGAAAACAATGATAACTGTTGCGTTGTGCAACCTTATTAACTCGTGATTGATTCCCCCGAATGTTTCAAACAATTCCATAAAAACAACATTTTTTTCATATTGAATCATGAACCTAACTTCTCTGGCTTCGTTTCAAAGGCAAAATTTGCAATATCTTCCCATCCAAATAAATTAGATTTTTGCAATCTTTCGATTGACAACGAAAATGATTATCATGTGCTGGTCGAAATTTTGAAAGAGTTTTTATCATTAAATCGATTTACCCAACAAGACGACTTCAAAAGCATTCGTCGCGACTTGCCTTCTCTCTAAATTGAAATAAATAAAATTGGGTTGCTCCAAGTATCAATTGTCCGGCCCTCTGTTGAAAAAATTGAAAAAGCCGTGAATTATAACTCTATCAACAATCCAGATGTTAATGGTGTTCCAGTTTGCAGACGATGGACTCAATTTGGCTTCGGCTTGCAGACTGA